CCTCCTCCTCCCTCCTCCTCCTCCTCCCTCTCTCTCTCTCTCTCTCTCTCTCTCTCTCTCTCTCTGTCCCATTCGCTCTCGCGTTCCCTCTCCTTCCCTCTGCCTACCTCACGTTTTCCTTCTTACATCATTTCTTACCTCAAGTATCTCGGAGTGGAGTCAAGGCGAGGAATCAATACGGTCGTCGCGTACCGCGCGCAATCATTTTCTCGCCTCAAAACGAGCGCCGGCGGAAAAGCCGGTAGAAATCAAATTCCAGTCACGGCACGTATCCCGATAAATACATATTGATACGAGAAGATTACGAAGGGCGTGTGCGAGCGGCGATTTTTGATACGTTTCTCTCTTTCTCTGCGCGGCGCGGCGCGGCGATGCCCGCTTTTCGGGTCGCGGCGGAAAAGGCGAAATGCTTCCTCGACGATTTTCTTGTTTCCTACCTACCTCGATCGACTCGCTCGTTTCGCGCGAGACGCGGCCTATATTTCTCCGCGGAAATCACGAGCTTATAAATCCGGAAATGTATCGTACGTATGTCTCTTCGAGGAACAAGGAACACATGAAAGTATAAGTGCCGTCTTGCAGCGGATCGATTGCGGAAAATTGCGAGACACGTTCCTCCGATGCCTTCAATATGTATTAACTGGTTAGCGATCGAATCTAATCTCAGGCCCGTCGTTAAGAATTTGTCACTCGCACGCTTACAAATGCTCTTTTAAAACATATATATATATATATATATATATAAAGGAGAAGATGTTACGAGAAGCGGGGAGGGATTCTGAAATTGGAAAGAATACCATTTATCATCAAAATCGCTGGGAGGAATTGCGGAATGATTCAAACTCGTGTAACGTTACAACGGAAGTTATTATTAAACGTCTCACAGTGATTCCCGAGCTAATGAAGGACGTAAGAACTATAAATCTCTCGCGTGTATTTGCTATATATGTATGTGCATGTTCAAGTACGTGTATAAACTTCTCATGAAACTTCAGACATCTCAGGAATATTCCAATCTCCGAGTACACCGCACAGACAGACGGGTCTAAATATGAAATTCTCTTAAGCGAGACCGGCACGCGAGGGGATCCTTTCCTAACTGGATCTATACATGTTACATATATACATACATACATACATGTGTGTGGGGGGGAGGTGCGTGCGCGCGCGCGCGCGCGCGTGTGTATGTGTGTATGTGTAAATATGTGATATATGTATGTAGCAAATTTTTACTTTCACTCGTATATGCTACGCGCCGTGTGTAAGACATTCCGTTATTGGTGATATAGTCAAATAAGAGGTGATTATAAAGAAATAAGCAACAACGCGTGGTAAAACTGTTTTGTATAAAGTTTTGCACAACAAAATTTCGATAAAATTTTATATTTCGAAATGGAGAAGATAATGAAGTTTTCTCCAATTTTCGCAACTTGATTTTCTACATTACGTTACAGATTGAGCTTGAATTGATACATCATTTTAGGAGCGAGATAATTAATTTTGATATTCTTCGCAAAAAATAATGTAACAAAATAATTTATAGTTTCAATTATTCGTTTATTTTCCCGTCCTCGGTGTACATGTGTACATATTAGCTTTCACATGTGTATGTATTGGAGCGTGTTAGCGCGTTAATATGTTCATCTCTTCGCCGTGCGGAGACGCGAGTCACTTCGCGAATTGTCTGGATACGATTTGATTTCGCGATACACAGCTGGCGATATGGTATCTGTGAGCGATGATACTAACAATTGATAAGCGTACTCCTAGTTTCTGAACAACCTGATGTATCGATGTATAAGCGATACATAAGCGGATTGGGACGCGGATGACGCGCACGCGCGCGCGAGAACAGTTCGATGGAACTTGGATGGGACTTCCGATTATTATGCCA